GGCAAATGTAATGCAAGAAACAGGAGTAAATGGTTGCTTGGGAACAAATCAAGCTCCACTTTGGTTTAGCTAAAAATAAAATTTTTAGTAAATTCTGATAGAAGTTGATGGAATGTGTAGAAGAAAATTTGATAAAAGTTGTAAGTCCCATTAACACCCTGTTTGGCCCCCATTACGGGGAAAATTTAATGTATAGAATAGTGTTTTTTGAAAAATGAGTGGTTGAAAAAGAAAGAAAAATTTTCGATTTACGTGTAATATTATTTTATGGAAGATTGTGTGGTTGAAAATAGGAGAGAGAAAAATAGAATGTAATGTAATTAAAATCAAACAAGGGCTAAATATGTGGTTAATAATGAATTTAAGAAAAAATGAGTTTTAGAAAATGGGGGTCAAATAGTGCCAAAAGTGAAATGTATAGTGGTAACTAAAATAATACCATCTATGATAAAAATTGCTGTTTCTTACCACAGGGGAAAAAAAGAAGAAGAATAAATTGAAGACCAATGACACGGAACGTCAATCTCATTTATGTACAGAAATATATTGAGGAGAATGAGAGCAAAGTAAACCAATAAAGACTGCATATTTTCAACAACTTTACATAGAGTAAATACAATGATTTCATTCATGCAAATTTACTATTTATAAATGTCATGCAAGGTAAGGTATAAGAGCAGAAAAATGGTACACCAATTTATATCAGAATTTGGAACGTATTGTGCACGTGCTAGATTTGCACTAAAAGTAAAAAATAACATGAAAATTTTTTATAGTTGATAATGGTAATGCAAACTTAAACGGTCAGCCATCAATTAAGGACTCAAATTTTTTAGATTATAATAGCCAAAAGATGAAAACATGCTGGTACAAAACAATTATAAATTTATCTTTATACCATGCACTAAGTAAACTAAAACACTATGCATAGGAAAAATTATTTAATGTCGAGTTATTAAATAATACCGACCACTTAACCTCTTTTACGAGATTACGATCAAACTGATCTCTATTTGACTATACCTAGAAAACTTCATGACATAGTCACATTTGTCAAAAAAATCCACGATAATGAGACATTGTTTATAGTTTCTGTTAGACTATACCCAGAAAACGTGTATTTATTCCACATATATATTTTATAAATGCCAGGTTTGCTGCCTTGGCATAGAGTTATCATGAAAATGCTTATATTTCGGATTTTAATGTATTCCACCATACATCAACAAACCATTACCCCAATAAAGAGGCAAAAATGATACTGAACTTAGATATATCAAATCATTCAAAGGTAAAATAAAAAGTGAATTGTAATTGCAACCACTCAAACTCAATTCATCAATGTGCCCATAAAATATACTTACAGATGTTTCATCGACCAAAATAGATGGTAATTTCTTCTCCGTCGCAATAACAACACCATTAGCAGCTGCAATTAAACCCACATATAAGTAAGTAGCACATAAAGACGCTCGATAAGCACGTGATAACAGATTCACTAAAATATCATTTTTCTTAACATAATACCAGGCTTTAGGTACATTAAATGAGAAGCAACACGCAAAATTTTTATTTCCCTACACAAAGCACCACCTATCTACCCTTTTCCTGAAATGTTGGTTTTATACAGAGAAACCAATGCACCAGCAATGTCATTAATTAAATTGCTAAATACAGTGTGAGTTCAAGTCATTGTGACACTTGGCAGGTTACCCACCATATCAAAACTTTAACAATAAAGTTAAAGATCAGCAAGCAGGGAATTCATCATCAACAAACATATATCACGTTGGTTGAAAGCTTCATATATTGATAATGCAGTACTCATGAAAAAAATAGCAACAGCCCAAGTCACCTTTTTAAATAGTCTAGTTCTAAGAATGTTACATATGAAATTTAACTGAATAAAAAAATATTGAAACAAAGTTTCAGATTTACCTTTAATTCCTAAAGATGTCTGACCAGATCCAACTGCAGTTAAGGCGTGTTCAATCTGAACAAGCTTTCCTGAAGGACTGTGCCAATAACAATAATAAATCATAATCAGTACACTCATATACAGACTTGAATACAGACAATATTCATATCCGCTCAAATTGGTGCATTTTTATTTTGGAAATTAAAATAAATTACGAATACATACACAGCGGATGAATGCATACCTGAAAGTGGTGAGAGAGAAAGAATACTGACTGTCGCCCATTGATTTATAGATAAAACTGTAACTGAGCTCCGGTAGAATGAACTGAAGAGAGAGACAGAAAAAGATATACATCATAACTAACTATTTTAATATGTCGAGAGTACATAAAAGTAGAAAAAATTGAACATTCGGGCTAAATAATATTTCTGAGAGAAAATTTATCCGGAATCACAAAACTCAAAGCCCTAAAAGAGCTTCATTTTTTACCTACTGACCATTAATTTCAGGAAGGAAAACAAAAGATATTACTTCGGAAACATAATCTATAAGCACAGCTTTAATCTCCTATGATCTACGCGAAATGAATCAATTTCAAGTTTAAGCAAAGATTTCTAACAAGAAAAATCCCATTTTCTAGTTTCCAAAATAACCTTGCAATTTCAACTGATTGACGAAAATTATTAGACGGAGAAAGAGCAGAAATTTGCATACTTTGAAGAATTTCTCCGACGAAATGCGAATGCAATTGCAGTGTTGAAGCCGATGGAGGGGTTTTGTTGCTGGTTTCTTGTAGAGTAATTAAAGATCGCCCTTTTGTGTTTAAGGGGCTACTGCGGCCCGTTGAATGACCCGAATAGGACGTGTGCATATTCCAAATCGGGCCTGGCTGGTCAGGTCCGCTTAGAGGGTTTATTCGAAGTAATTTTCAGAAATAGCCTCATATTTTTTACACTTTCAAATGTAAATTGGATTTATAGTTTTTCTGATGTAGCACTACAAGTGATAAAAACTTCGGGGGTTGCACTTCTATGATCAACTAATAAATTCTATTATTCCTACAATACTACATAGCATTAAAGGTCTATTTGATTGCAAAGATGAAATTTGGGTGGAAAAAAAATGAATTTCAAGGAATTAAATTTCCTAGAAATTATTTTCCTAAAAATTGTAAATTGTTTTGTTTGATTAGTATAAATTTTCACGTGAAAAATATTGAAATAAAAGTGTCTTTTGGTATTTGTTTAGCTTTGTATTACATGAAAATTGTCGATTTAAGGGATATTCACTTCTACAATTGTTTCGAAAATTTGTTTCCATTAAAAAAAAAATCTAAAAATCATCTATATTTTGATATTCGTTTAACTTTATTTTACATAAAAAAATTTAATTTAAGGGATATCATCTTTTACAATTGTTCCAAAAATTTGTTCCCGTTGTCAAAAAAACAAAAACAAAATGTTGGAATTCAAAAAAAACCACCACATTGGTGGGAAAACCAATTCAATGAAAAGGGAGAAAATGTGACCGTGTGGAGGAAAAGTGGTAAACCAATTCCCTAGAACTTTTCGCCTATTAGACATTATTAAAAAAAAAAAAAAAAAAAAAATTGGAAGATGAAAATTCTTTTCCATTTTCTATGGAAAAGAAGTTGTATCAAACATAGCCTAAGAGTGCTTAATATTATGTTCATCTAAAAAATAATTACCAATAATAAAATGTGTAGTCGATTATCACATAGACTTGTTTTAAAAATACTACTATTCCTACATAATGAAGTTAAATAATTATTTCCTACATAATGAAGTTAAATAATTATTTACATATGGATGAGGTCAAAAAAAAGTGGGAATTTATTTTTATTTTTATTTTTTGCTGAAAAAACTTTAATCCAATCATATTTCACTTTGTAATGTATATAATTTGTTTAAAAATTGGATATAGAATGGGCATCAAACATAGCCTTAGATCCAAAATTACAAAAAATTTTAGGATATATAAATTTCAACGTTATGATCTCAATAAACCCCGATAATAGCCAAAATTTCTTGTCTACTTGAGAGATAAACTATACTGATATGATTCTTAAATAGATCTCATTACACGATCTCTATAAAATTCATCTACTCCATCGTAAAAACTTATTTTGAATTTCAAGATTGAAGAAAAAAATGCACCTTTGATAATTGCAAGTGTGGAATGAAAATATAATGTTATACCTTAACTAAGAATTATTTTCTAAAATATATGCTTTTTATGAGTTTTTTCTTATTGTGAGTTACAAATACAAGATGATTTACACCTTATTGACTTACGGGAGATGTCGAAAAATGTTATTTTTATGCATATATGTTATTGTGCTTGTATTTATTTACCAACTTGTTATATAATGACTTCACTTTAACAAAGCATTTAATTACAATGATGAGCGTGATTCATGGACAACTTGTGAAAATAATAAAGAGCCACTAAAAATAGCTTTTGTTTATTTTTTTCATTTTTAGAAGAGTTTGACAAGGGATTCACGTTAAATTAACTCATTTTGAAAATATTTTTAGGTGAACAATGCCAAACAAGCCGACTAGTAACTTCTTAGACTTCTTGTGTTCTACTAGTAATAATAGACTTGTTAGTTAACAATTAATTTTAATAACATATTTTACCGTATTCATAATATTTTAATTATACATTATATCAACTTTTATCCAAATTTACTAAAAATTTAACCATAAAAATGCATTTTAGAATAGTAATTGATGAGAAGTGTGTGGTTGAAAAATAAGGAAATTTTTTTTATTTACGTGTAATATTATTTTAATAAAGAATGTGTGGTTGAAAAGAAGATAGTGAAAAATACACTTTGAAAAAAATGAATATAAAAAAGGGCTTAATTTGTTCAGGAAATACTATTTTTATTTACTTTACACCTGAATGAATTTAGTAAAAAATTATAGTTTAATACAAATCTTGACTAATATTGTGGAGTACTAATCCTTGAGTTCCCTGCGTAGCCGGCCGGTTCTTCACCTCCCATTTTTCCCTTAACAGTAAGCTCCCTTTACACTTTATTTACTTATTTCTATATTTCCTTTAAGACAATCGGTTTTGCTTCGTGGTTTTTTTCTGGTTATGTATTTTTGTCGATGGGGTTTATCAACTTTTGTATCTTTAACAATTCTTGATTTCATCTATTTCTGAATCTCCGTTCTAGGCTTCAAGTCTCCCCAAAATTTGCAGAACATTTCAACTTATAATTTCTTTGTCGATAACTGTGTGAGGTTTTTATTTTTTTTATTTTTTGTTGGTAATCTTCACTACTGGGGTAAATTTGTTACCGTATGACGAGAATACATTAACATCGCACTCCAAGGGGAGTAAAAAGGGAACTTTCCAGTGACCGAGAGCAATTTCAGTTCCCAAATCTGTCTCTGGAAAATAGATGCATTTTTTTGCTGTGCTTAAAAGTAAGTTTTGTTAGTGAATTTGTTTACTGTATGATGAGAATAGAGTAACTTTATACTGTCAAGGGGATTAAAAACGAATCTGTTAAGTAATCAAATGCAATTTCAATCCCCTAATTTGCCCCAGAAATAGATGCATGTTTGAATGTGATTAAAGCTTAGAACTATGTTTTATTAGTTTAATTAAAAAAAAAAAAAAACCTAACTTCGACTAAATAAGTAACTTAAAAGTAAGTTAGACATACAGTTTAAGCACATCAAACATGCTGAAAATTGTGTCCTTGTGTTGTTTGAACTTGATGTAAAATCACACAGAAGTAATCTGGTCTCCTACGGAAGCCTCTTCTTTTTTTCATTGTTACCTTTTGTTGTGTTTCATTTACTTTTTATAACGTACCTCATGATAGTGTGATTTTATTTGGATAAGACATAATCTAGTTCATATCCGGCGATATCTTGTGATTTAAATGGAAAAGGAGCTCTCGATAAATGGAATCATCACAATTGTTAATTTTTTATGCAATTCTGATGATGATTATTGTTTTTTTCCTTCCTTGGAGTGCCTGTGGTAAAATAATCCTGCTTAGTGCACATCATTTTCTCGTTCCCTGCAAGCGAGAACATTTAGCGATTGGTTATTTCCCATTGTCATACAGGGCTTGGGATTTGCAGTATGTCTTCGTCAGCAGCTGTGCCGGAAGCTTCATTTGACTCCCAGTTATTGTTGACTAATGAGCCTGTTGTTTCAGTTGACTGGCTCCATGCTAATCTCCGAGAGCCTGACTTGAAGGTGTATAAATAAGCTTTTTGATTTATCTTGTCGAATGGACTGATCGGAGTTTCAAGTTTCTCTGTCATAGAATGTTTGTTTTCTTTCAATGGATTTTTGGAATGTAGAAACTTCTTTTGTGTTATCCCTGTCAAAAAAGCCCTGTTCCATAGTTTTCTTTGTATTGTACATAATTATCCATACTCCTTAGTTCTTCCGGACTTTGGTACCATGAGACAATGTGACATGAGTAGAAACATTGGTATTTGGCATTACCAATCGACTTTGCTAAACTCAATTTTGCATAAATGCATGTTGGTCTTTCTAATGATGCTAATTTTGCAACGTAATAACTCCCTCAAATCAGTCTCATGCCAATTTTAATTTCAGCTTTCCATGTATGTCTCAGATTTCTGAGTTCAGAAGCTGCCTTGGAAGCTATGATGTTTTGTACTGTGGTTAAAACCAAAGTTGAAAGAATCCAAAGACAAGTGGAAGACCCTGTAACCAATAAATCATGATCATATTTTTCTTTCACAATTTGTACTTTTTTTCTGGATCTTGGGAAATATCTTTGGGACGTCTTCTTATGATACTTTTTAAACATTTTTCTCCGGTTTGGGAGGGTCGTCATTGGGGAAGAGTTGAGTAGGTGAAAGGCAATCATGTCAGCCAACTCATGATGTATGTTCCTGGTTCTAATCCTGGCCAAAACTTTGCTTGTTATGAACTGATGATTTAAGTCGGCGGTAGACCCAAAGGGTTACCATATTGAGTGGTGCAAGATAGCTTTTGACTTATTTAGAATAACATGCCTATCCCATTAGAATGTCGTGCTGCTTTTTTATTATTGTATCACTTTATTTTTTAATTTTTGAAGGTGCTAGATGCCTCCTGGTACATGCCATATGAACAGAGGAACCCACTTCAAGAATATCAGGTGTCAATCCTTTAAATTTCTTACTTCGTACAAGTGGCTTGATTAACATTTACCTATAAAAGACTGCTGTTTAACACTTCTGTTCCATGTTCAAATTGCATCGGCAACAGAGAATTAACATGGATCTGAAACATCTCATAAGTCAACTCTGTTTTTTTTTTTTTTCGATCTTTAGTTCTTCATAGACTTTTGATTTTAGAAATTTTCACCTGCTGTCTGGACAGGTTGCACACATTCCCGGTGCCCTTTTCTTTGATATTGATGGCATATCAGATCGATTTGCCAATGTAAGATGTTCTTCACTGGCTAAATATACTTGTTCAAAACATGACCCACAGCTAAACAAAGCTCAAGCTATATGTGGAGGTTTATTTTTAACTTAGTATATAAATGTCTTTTTGACAATAAGTCTAAATTCTTTCAATTAGAATTGGTCATGATGCAACAAGCTACTTGCTAGCTATATTAATTGATCTATACTCAAGAGATTGTTCGTGTGGACTCACGAGTGAGTGGCACATGCTATTATCATGTGGTCTCACTTACACAAGTGCTGCGAACAATCTTTCTGACTCTGCAACATGTACCAGTTGCCACATATGCTGCCATCAGAGGAAGCATTTGCTGCTGCTGTTTCTGCACTAGGAATTGAGAGTAAAGATAGAGTTGTTGTTTATGATGGAATGGGCCTTTTCAGTGCAGCTCGTGTTTGGTGGTGAGTTTCAGGTTTGGTACTCTAAGTCACCAGATATAGGGTATCAAATTTGGCATTCAGTTATTACACTGCTCAACTAATATGAATTGATAAACAGGATGTTTCGAGTGTTTGGGCATGATAAAATTTGGGTTTTAGATGGAGGCATGCCAAGATGGCATGCTTCAGGATTTGAAGTTGAATCGAGTGCTTCAAGTGATGCTGCATCAAATGCTCTCTTGCAAGCTAGTGCTGCCATTGAGGCAATAGAGAAAGCATATCGAGGACAGCCAGTAAGTCACGTTATCTCTGTAAAAATCTGCTTCATGATCTGTTATTATACTGGATGTCAAAACTCAGTTCCTCTATGTTTAAATAATTATTCTAACTAAATTGGTTTATGTTAAAATGACTAAACAGCAACTGTTTACTGACGATGTACATCTCTAATATCAATTTCCAATTGTAACATTTATTTTCTTTTGAAAATGAACTTCTCATAACATTTTTTCCTATTGTCAAATTTCTGCAATACATCTTCAATCGTTCTGATGATCAAACTCATGAATGGCATGAGAAAGTCTCCACATACAAAGTCAAGAAGCCCCTTTTAACGAATCCCAGAATGCTAGATTTTGATAATTTGCATGTACAACACTTCGTATGTCCACTCTTATGTGACATCTATACTAGACTATTAGCAACATAAATAAGAGACCATATCCGTGTTCCTAGACTGAGGCTAGCTTGTGGCTGAATAATTTTGCTCCTGATGGTCATGGTCTATGAATTTTCCAGAGTTAGATGACAATCACTTTAGGAGAACAACCCACCCAAAATATTACAATAATTTTTCTTCCATTATATGGGACCCATATTTATCACAAACTTGAAATGCGGCCTCCAGTATAGACAAGTATACTTTGGATTCAAATTTAGCTAAGTAAATTGCGTTATTTAATACTCTTGTTCTTGTTATGGCTTTTTATTACGAGGGTTTGCAGAATCTTTTCTAGTATACAGCTATAGAATGCAATTAACTACTGAAATGATTAGTTGGACCTTGCCAATGAGATACCAATCTTTGACCTCTTGTTTTCAACCCTTTTCTTCACATTTCTCTCATAGTTTTAGGGCAGGTGCCATCTTTCACACGTAATGCTCCTGTAAAGATGGCCATTTGCAAATTGTGTTCAATTGTTATTCAAGTCTATTTTTTCCAAATTTGTGTTGTTTAAAGTACTACCGATAGCATTTCAACGTTTGCAGGTTGGGCCAGTTACCTTCCAAACCAAATTCCAGCCCCATTTCATCTGGGCAGTAGAACAGGTCTATTTCCTTTGTGTGTTTTATTAGATGATGCTATCTAGTCTTTTGAGTATCATTTACATTTTATAGTGAAACTTGCTTCCCACTTGTAATTGATTTGCATGGCTCATAAATATCGGGCAAGATGAAGCAACAATTTTTTCGTTGATCTGTTCCATTTGTACTAGGAATTTATGACTTAGTGGACTGTAAAACGCTCGGGCTAATGCTAAGAAGGCAGATCTCTAGTTAATTTCTTGCAGCATTTTCAATTGATAGTGACTTTAAAAATAAGCACCTGCAAAAGGACATCAGACTTAATTGGGATAATTTCTTTGTGTTGTGACTGCATATTCGAACCATCAACTTGGCAATGTGGGTTCTAACTTCACCATTTGAGGACTGTTTTCTTGTTGACTTTATGTCATACCTTAGACTCGTTTGGATTTTTGGGGATCAAAATGTGTAGCGTCCCTCTCTTTTTCAAGAACAATCAGTAGTGAATGTGGTTTTACGCATAGAAATTTTGTTCTTGTTTCAAGATATAGTTTCTCTTTAATTGCAGGTTAAGAAGAACATTGAAGAAAAATCATTTCAACATATAGATGCTCGCTCAAGAGCTAGGTACATTATCCATATTTTACTGCACCATTAATTATTGTTTGTCATTAATTCATTGCTTGTTTTGTTTGATCTTTGGAGATATTGTGCAAAACTGGTGCATTTTTTATGCAGTAAGTTTGACTGCCCTCCCTCTTCATGTACTAACACTCCAAAATGCTTTTTTTTGTACTTGATTTACGTAACGCAGACCAATTAACCAAATGTTCCACAAGCTTTTTCTTATAACAAGCATGTGAATAACGTTGTTCATAAAATTCATATTCCAGCGTTGTTAAAAATTCAACTTTTTCTTCACAGGTTTGATGGGGTTGCACCAGAGCCTCGAAAGGGATTAAGAAGCGGACATATACCAGGAAGCAAATGCATTCCTTTCCCTGAGGTTACATCTTAATTTTGGGACCACTGTCGATTTTAAAAAAAATATATGTATTCATATCAAGGAATAGAAAGAGAGAAAACTTGGAATGATCACAGATATAGGGTTCTAACATCTAATAGGTGAATTTAATTTGGCCTTGGGGGGTCTTTAGTGACAATCTTCTTAGTATGTGGTTCTCTTGATTGTCGTGATGGAAGTTTTGAATAAGTTGCCTAGTTTTACGAATTTTGGGAGGGGTTATTTGCAGATGCTGGATGGCTCACAGGCACTCTTACCTGCAGACGAGCTTAAGAAAAGATTTGAACAAGAAGGCAAGAGCTCATTTTTGCGTTGACATAAATCCAGTTTCCCGAATGTTGATTACTAGTTTTGACTCATTTTTTCTTTTCTTTGAGGTGGTCGACCTCATTTTATGTGTAGTCAGTCATTTATTCCTCTGTTTGGTATGCATATTCCTCTGTTTGGTATGCATTCTTTAAAACTTATTTTTTTCCAAACTCATTTTCAGTCACACACTCTTCAAGTGACACAATTTTGCATGTGGACAGCTTTTTCCTATGTTCTCCAAAGAAATTGATTTTTCACAAAATCTACTATTAAAAAATCTACATCAAACATGCCCTATATGTCAAACAAATTTACTATACCAAGTTAATTGCGGTTGCTCGTCCAAATTCAACTTGCCACTTCTTGCAGGGATATCATTGGACAAGCCTATACTGACTTCATGCGGCACTGGTGTAACTGCTTGTATCCTCGTATTGGTGATTTTTCTCCCTCTCTCCCTCCAACCACTACCACTCAAGTTGATCATAACCTCGTTATATTCAATAGATGAACAATCATTTTTTCGTTGTGCAATTTCTCTAGTTAATATTGACCTAAAAAAATAATAATAATAATAAAAATAAAAATAATGTGATGTCATCTATCAGGGGCTCCATCGACTTGGGAAGACTAATGTTCCGGTATATGATGGGTCGTGGACAGAATGGGCAACAAAACTGGACGTTTCCAATGACGCTCGCAGTGCTTATGAAGGATTGCCGGCTAAATGAATGTCAAGTCTATAGATTATTCGATTCTCTCCATTGCTATATTATAACTGCTGTGAGAACTACACTTTCATATATAGTTTGAAAATCTTTTGTCCATTTGATGTATCAATCACCAAACTCTAATGAATTTGAACATCGAAATGTTTCTGACTATTGAACCCTCTTTTGTACCAGCGATCGAGCATTCTGACCTTTGTTTTATGTGCAGATAATTGATGTTACTCTTCATCCAACTGCTATACATGATTATTATTTACCAATAAGAGGCATACTATTATTAAAAAAAAAATACTCGTATTTTCTGTATAATAAGATCATGTTACTCGATACGAATGTGCAAGTTGGGTAAACAGTCTAAGAGAGAGACAGACCTCAAAAGTCAATCATATGATAAAAATCCTTTTGCTAATGTTACGCGTCTATCTGAACCACCTCGGAATGTCCACCACCACACACTCCGATCTAATAGACACTCACTTGAAGTAGTTTCGAAGTGATCTCCCCAATGTCAACGACCTGTTATCACACTGCGAGACATAGGCGATCCTGCAGAACTGACCAAAGCGCCTTGCCTCTAAAGCCGAGGTGAAGTGCACTCCGGGAATCTCTGTCAGAAGATCCGTCGCCAATTTCAGAAGGAGATCTTTGCCAAGATCCTTTCTGCCCGTAAGTTTTAACTTGATTTGACGTCTCCATGAGGCTAGTTGATGTTACTTATCAACTTTATGTCAACTCAACTCAGGAGAAGCAATTACCCGCCCACTCTACAAACGCAGCTAATTAACGCCTATGAGCAGACACCTCATACCGTCAGATGTATACATGTGCCTCACATCCAACGGTTCATCCCACCTATAAATACTCAAGGGTTGGCAAGAGGTAAAGGTAATGAAACTCTTACTACATAGCACTCCATAGCAAGCATATATATATTTTCTCCTCCCTCTTATTATTAGGCACAACCCCTGAGTACTGTTCTGACCACCTGAACCTGACTTGACCGTTGAAGTGTATACGACCGCCACCACCCCCGCTAGTCCTGGCCGTGTGCGTCTGACCGTGCGTTGATTGTGCGCAGGGAGGAATACGTGGAGTAGTTCTCGGTTGGCCACATAGAAGGTCCAATTTTCGAGGTCAACAGATTGACACCGTCTGTGGGAAACACTTCCGGTTCAAAGTTCTGCATTCTCCACCAGAGAAAACACCGGAAAACTAGCGACTAACCCTGAAAAGAGCACGTTCTTGAAAAAGAACAAAGTCGAGTTATAATCCAAATTCTCACCACCCTTGAAAAAAAGAGATAGGATGAGTTATAGCCATGAAGACAACAACCCCATGAGAGAGGCCTCTGAAGAGGAGGTGCTCCATAACAATATTACTCACCAGAGACCCCATCACCGACGTCGCCGAGGTAAAAGAATAGTCATGCTCACTGAAGGAATGGCTCAAATAGCTGCGGGTATGAGAGACATCGCAGCTCAGAATATGACGATGCATAAACTTCTCATGCAAGCCCGAGGTCACCAGGACTCTCAAATGCCCCAAGAATCTTACCCAGTGCAGGAAGCCCCAGTATCTCGTTCCCGAGGCCACACTAGTAGCACAGAGAACGTCCCCTCGAAAGAGAAGTGGACGCCAAAGCCACATCTTATGTGCAAGGGAACCAGCCATCAGAACCACACTTGGGGGACAATTTCCCTCAAGAATATGAGGAACAGAGGTCGGTAAGCATCTTCGACTGGATAGGGGAGGATCCTAGCAATATGGTCCGTCCAGTGAGAAGATCAGTTTGACCAGATCAGGAACAAGAACAGGCTCTTCCTCCTCCTAGAAATAGGAGGGACATGAGGAACCTAGTCGATTGGAAAAGTCGAGGAGAAGCACCTCCACCTCCCCAGAACATTCAAGATGATGAAGGATCAGATGGGCCCTATCGGTCTTATGAGATTGACGACGACGATGATAACCTCCCTTTCTCAAGGGAGATCCGAAGCTTCCCAATGCCAGCAAATTTCATACCTCCTAAGATCCCCAAGTATGAAGGAAAGGGGGACCCGAAGAAGCACCTCACCAAGTATATGACACAAATGAGTCTCAAGGGAGCCTCGCCTACTTTGAAATGCAGAGCCTTCCATTTAACACTAGCTGGAGCCGTCGAAGTGTGGTACAGCAGGCTTCCTCCCCTAAACATTAGAAGTTGGCCAGATTTGAAGAAGGCATTCTTGAATCAGTACCTCTCGCGAAGAAAATGAGAGGCCCCAGTGCAATGCCTGCAAGACATGAGGTAGGCCCCTGGAGAGACGCTGAAAAGCTATCTTGCCAGGTTTACGGACGAAATCACATACTGCGAATAGGTCACTGACAGAGAAGCCCTTTCAGCCCTGAAAGGCGCCCTCAACATGAACACTTTGTTCTGAAGGGACGTGCGTAGCAAGAATCCTTCCACCTATGACGAACTCGTGGAAATGATGAGAGTTGAAATCGTGAGTGAAGAAATGATTGATCACCGAAATCGTGCCACGCAGGGACTCCCTCGGCCTCAGAGGCAGGTAAGTCGAGGACCCGCAGCACACCTTGTTACTCAGCAATGGACTCAAGCAGGACACACAATAGCTTCCACCTCTGGACAGGCATTGGCTTTTGCCACACTAAATGCAGTGCCAGTATTGGCATATGAAAATGCTCCTGGCGAAGCGGGGCCATCTGGAAGAAACGATAGCAAGAAAAAGATGAAGAAGCAATCAAACAGGCTCTTGGAAGGGGCAAGGTTTTGCACTTTCCATCAACTCTATGGGCATGACATCAACGAATGTAGAGACGCTCCTCGACGCCCAGACCGGACCGACCCACACCCCTCCAAGAGGAATGAATATCCTCGCAGATCTGTCTCCCCGAACAGGGGAGATCGAAGGCATAGAGAGCAATCACCTCGGAGAAGAGAATCAAGGGACCGAGGAGAGTCCAGGTAGAGAGATCAGGCCCCATTTTCTAGGGGCCAAATCATCAGGGAAATCGACACCATCATTGGGGGACCCCACATCGGTGGCAACACCAGGAATGCCCAAATGAATTATACAAGGGAAGCAAAGGACCCACCAATGATCACTTACATTGTCAACGAGTCCCAAGAGGCCAACATGATGGCCCCAATTACCTTCTCCCAGGAAGATGCGCAAGGAGTTCACCATCCCCATTGCGACGCACTGATTGTAAGAGCCGTAGTAGCCAGAAACGGGCTCAAACGCATGCTCGTCGACAATGACATATTGTTTGGCTCCACCTTTGACAAAATACAGATTGAACATGTGTTGATCCCATAACCGACCCACTATTCAGATTTACTGGGAACAGCATCGTCCCACGATGTCGGATCACCCTACCCGTCGAGATGGATTCGGCACCCCTAGTAGCCCAACACTTCATAGAATTCTTAGTGGTAGACCACAGATCGGCCTATCATAGAGTATTGGGCAGACCCGCTTTGAAAGATCTTTAGGCCGTCACATCCATCCACTACTTGTGTATGAAATTCCCAACTGAACATAGGATTGCAATGGTCCGAGGCGATCGGATGGGCTCCAGGGCATGCTACTTAAACTCGCTGCGAAAGTCGGAGCCCCGAACTGTTAATGTAATCCTTTAACTGAGGTTCCCACTGAAAGCAATACAGACGTGAAAATGCTCGACGCTCTTGAACAAGGGCATACCTCTGAACAAGAGGAAGTCGACATAGAAGAGGTCCCTGAACAAGGGCACCCTCTTGATGAGTTAGATCCCCGAATAATTGACTATGGACCAAATGCGACCCCAATGGAAGAACTGGAAACTTTCTATGCCAACCCAGAAGACCCCAGTCAGGTCTTGCGTATAGGGAAGGCACTGTCCCCCGAAGCAAAAGAAGAGATGATAAGCTTCCTGAAAAGGAACTTGGATGTCTTTGCTTGGAAGCATGAAGACATGGTGGGAATAGATCGAAGGATCAATTGCCACCATCTTAACATCAACCCCTTTTGTGCCCCCCATCGACAGAAGAGACGTGCCCTCAATCCGGAGAGGTACAAGGCACTGAAAGATGAAGTCAACAAACTTAGCCGCAGTGGTTTCATAAAGGAAGCCATCTACCCGAAGTGGATATCCAACTCGGTCCTGATGAAAAAGCCTAGCGAAAAGTGGAGGGTGTGCGTAGACTTCACAAACTTGAATAAGGCGTGCTCTAAAGACAGCTTCCCACTTCCAAGGATAGACCAACTTGTGGACTCCACTGCTGGACACGAACTGCTAAGCTTCATGGATGCATACTCAGGGTACAACCAGATACCCATGTTCCGACCTGATGAGGAAGCTACGTCATTTATTACAGACAGAGGTCTGTACTGCTACAAAGTCATGCCCTTCGGATTGAAGAATGCCGGAGCTACATATCAGAGGCTGGTCAACATGATGTTTGCCAAACTCATTGGCAAAACCATGGAAGTCTATGTGGACGACATGTTAGTCAAAAGCCTCCAGGCAGCCGAACACGCAAGTCACCTCGACCAAACTTTTCAAATACTTAGAAAATATAAGATGAAGCTGAATCCCCTCAAATGCACCTTTGGAGTGGCTTCAGGCCAATTCTTGGGATATATTGTCAATCAAAGGGGAATTGAAGCAAATCCAGTGAAAATAATGGCCTTGCCAGAGATGAGGTCACCTCAGAAACCAAAAGAGGTCCAAAGCCTTAATGGTCGGATAGCCACACTCAATCGCTTCATCTCCAGAGCCACAGATAAAACTTTGCCTTTCTTCAATGTGCTTAAACAAGGAAAGAAATTCCAATGGACTTCTGAATGTGAAGAAGCCTTCTAGGCGCTAAAAAAACACCTGGGAGAGGCACTTCTCCTGTGGAAACCTCAACCATAGGAGTCACTATTGCTATACTTAGCGGTTTTGGACATGGTGGTCAGCGCCGTCCTAGTCAGAGATGAAAGTGAGCGCCAGCTACCAGTGTACTACGTCAGCAAAGCACTTCTCCCAGCTGAAACACGCTACCCAGACATGGAGAAACGGGCACTCGCCCTTATCACAGCCTCAAGAAAACTGAGGCCATACTTCCAGGCCCACTCAATCGAAGTTCTCACCAACTTTCCATTGAAGCAGGTAATGCAGAAAACAGACGCATCAGGACGCCTGCTAAAATGGGCAATCGAGCTCAATAAGTTCAATCTATTGTTCCGATCTTGACACGA